AATAGAATTGTTCTCTTGATTTTCTTCTTGGCAGGTTTTTGTGTAGCCACCTTGTTCTCTTGAGTTTGTGTGAATTCGAATTCTCTGAAGAGTAGTTTCTTGGGCTGTCTCTGTGGCCCTTGGGTCATGTCATCTGTGAGCAGGGGCCGACTTCCAGGACAGTGATGTGGCCCCGCGGTCAGACGGGCCTCTCCATCGAGCCCTGACCTGCACAGGGAAGTTCGCAGTCTTTCTCTTTGGGGTAATGTTCGCCCTGGGTTTTTCATAAATGCTGTTTACCACGTGGAAGAATTTCCTTCTCTTCTGTGTTGTTTGGGGATTTTAGTTGGATGAGTATGCATTACAAAACATAATGCCATCTCGTCGGTGTCTACATGTGTAATTCAGTAAGCCGGATTCTATTCGAGTAGTGCCGCCATTCTCGTTATCCTTTCCGAAACCCTTCTGCCACCATCACCCCTTCCCTGCCGCCATCTTTGGTTTCTATATATTTGCTTTCGTTCATAGAAGTGAAAGCATACACTATTTGCCCTTTGGGGACTGTCTTACTTCACTAAGCTTGATGTGTCAAGGGTCACCCATGTTCAGTGTGGCAGGAAATGGAACTGAAAATGGGGCCCCCTCATATGATCACATTTTGTCTACCCATCATGTGTTGATGGACATTTTGGTTGTTTCCACCTCTTGGCTTGGCAGTGGACACGGTGTTCAGGTCTCTATGTGATCCTACCTTCACTTCCAAGTCAATGCCTGATGGGCGATCCTGAATCTGTGGTGAACTTTGTGGACAATCACAATCACCAAACTGCTTTCTACAGTGGCTGTCCCATTTTACATTCTCATCAGCAATACTGAAGGGTTCTAGTTTCTCACAATCTTACAAGATCTGTTGTTTCACTTACCAAAAATTTCGTTGTCATTTGATTTGCATCTCCCTAACAGCTGCATGAAAGATGCCCTGGTAGCAACTAACCAAATGGCCAGCAACATGAACCCACCAGCCGCTCTGGGGGAAAGATGTGGCCGCCCCTTCAGCAAAGATCACCGCCTTTGAACCCTAACCCTTTGGGGCAGTTCAAGTCCTTTGTTTAGGGCCGATAGGCGTTGCAATAGACTTGACAGCAACAGGCTGAAGACTCAGTAGTGCAGTGGTTAAGCACGTGGCTGTTTGGCGGTTCAAAGCCCCTTGCCACTCCATGGATGCAAAGACTTCCCATAAATAGTACAGCCTCGGAAGCCCTGGGGCAGCCCCGGGCTGCCCTTTAGGGTGGCTGAGTCAGAATTGCCTCCACAGCATCAGCCGTGGGTAATGATGAGCCTCTGGCTGTGTTGGTTGCCTGTTCGAATATCCTCATTCGTGGAGTGTCTGCTCAAGTGCTCTGTCTTAGTATTTTTGACTGGAAGTTTGTGCTTTCAGTAAGTTGTAGAGTCAGACTTTTTGTCACCAGATTGCCACCTTTGAGAGGCTTCAGCCTTCCTTACTACTCTGCTCTTGCATTCGGTGTGAAACCTGGGAATTTTTCTTCCCTCGACAGGTTTCTGCCTTCCAAGTGTCCGGTTTTTGCTGGTGTCACGGCATCTATTTCAGATTCCTCTAACAATACGGTCTGTCTACATTGCGCTTCCCTTTTACCTACTACACGATAGGTCATTGACGAACCAGTGTTCTCTAAGCAGTCCCATTTATCTTCGTCTTTGTTGTCACAGCTGATAATGTGTCCGCAAAAACAAGGTCCACTGCTTCCTCTTATATTTTCTTCCAAGAACTTTATGGCTTCAGTTTTTACATAAAGGGCTTCAATCTATTTTGAATTGGTTTTGCGTCTTGTGTTAGGTGTGGATCTTGATTCATTCCTTTGAATTTCAGAATCCAATTTCCCAGCCCGTTAGTGAAGATTCTTCCTTCCCTAGGGAGTGAACCTTGTTGCCCATCAGTGTACTGTAGCTGTGTGGATTTACTCTGGACTGTCAGTTCGGTTTCCTTCACCTGTGTGTGTCCTAAAGTGCCCTCCTGGAGTTGTCAGGTGCTGGCCTGCTAAGAGTCGATTCAAACCCGCCAGCTGTTCCACGGAAGAAAGATGAGGCCGGCTGCTCCCTTACAGATTTCCAGTCTCGGAAACGGTTTGGTTGCTTTGAGCCGGAATTCACTCGATGGCAGTGGGTTTGAGTTGCAGATACATGTTAGTTCACCAATACCAGGATGCTCCAATTTAGTTTTCCCATGAAAGGGAGTTGGACTTTGTTCTGTGCCATCCCTTTGCTGAGCCGGTCATGTTCTCTCCCGGTGTTCCGTAGTGCAGTCTGTCGTAGGTGGAACTACTGTGCATGCTGGGATACGCTCCACTCGATCATCATGTTGATGGCCTTTTCTCTCCCACGATGCCGGGGCTTGTTCGGGAAGTTCATAGGTCCGCACAGCCAGCATCGGTGAAGCTGGCATTCTGCAAGGCGCCCAGGGTCTGGTTTCCTGGCGTCTTTGTTGAGGATTTGTAAATATGTGTGTCCATAATGCCTAAGAAGGCTTCAGAAAGCTGCTGGAAAAGATCATGGATTTTTTCCCCACAAACCTTTGAAACCCTTCATATATTTGTCTGTAGTTTCCTTTTTTTAGGGTGTCTGCCTGACTTTGGTATCAGGGTGATGTTAGCCTCGTGGAATGAGTTGAGAAGGGTTCCCTCTTCTATTGGGGGGGGAGAGTTTAAGAAAGATTGACTTCCCTGACTCACTAATGCTCAGTGAGCGCCCCCACCCCCACCCCTGGGAAGCCTTCTCTCACTAAGTCTCTGTCAAGAGTTGACGCCTGGCGCAGCCTTGTCACATGTTGGGGTTGTTGAGAGTTTGTTTCTTCAGGAACCCATGTCAGAAACATGTATTTCCAGAAGTTTGCCCATTTTATCTGGATCTTAGGATGTTTTGTATTTCTGTAGGTTCAGTTGTCCCACTTTCATCTGCAGTTTGAAATGTCTGCATCTTCTCTCATTGTGTGTCAGGCATCCTCAAACTATGGCCCGCGGGCCACTGCGGCCTGCCAAGGACATTTATCCAGCTCTCTGGGTGTTTTTGCCCCGTTTGTTTTTTTTTACTTCAAAATAAGATATGTGCAGTGTGCATAGAAATTTGTTCATAGTTTTTTTTTTTAAAACTATTGTCCAGCCCTCCAACGGGTCTGAGGGACAGTGTTTAAGAAGTTTGAGGACCCCTGGAAAGGTTTGTTGATTTTTTGAGAGAAAAAAGCCTGGTGTGTCGAGGCTACGGGTCGGACTGCCAGGCTGCAGGTCAGCAGTTGGGAAACCCCAGCACCCCCAGGAGGAAGACGGGCTTTCTACTCCCAGCAAGCTAGTCTGGGGACCCACGGCGGCGCTGTGAGTCAGCGCTGACTCATGGCAGTGAGTTTAGTGTGATTTGGTTTTTGAAACAAATTAACTTTGGGATTTGATTCTCTGTCTGTACCGTCTGGCACGTGTTTGTGCTTCGATGGTCACCTTCCCTCTTGTTGCTGTGGTCTGGGCTGTTTTGTTTGCTCCTAAAGTTACGTGATTGATTCGGGATCGTTTCTTTCACGTGGGCAGACAGGACCCTAGGCTCCCTCCGAGCCCTGCTCTCGCTGCACCCCATTTTGATTTACCTCTAAGTATTTTCTAAGTTCTCTTTTTTAGTCTCCTTTGACCCATTGGTTGGTTAATAGTGTTTACTTTTTTATATGAGGCGGTTTTAAAAACATTGGTGGAAAATTTCCATTATCTTTGTATTCCATTTTTCCATGAAATTAAAAAAAACCCTCATTTTTGCATTTTCAAGTTCTTTGTTACCTTCAAATTCCCTTTTTTTGTGGTAGGAGAAACGGCGAATGATTTCAGTTTTTAGAATGTGATGGAGACTGGATATTGAATTTTTTCCAAGAACTTTTTTTTCCCCCCTGTGCCCCTCTTGTGTATCTTTCAGGCAGGGTGTCTGTTTCCTTTTGGGCGGTGGTGTATTATTTCCCAACTATTCGTGTGTGGGGCTCTCTCCCCGTTCATTTTAATTACAGTGCTTTTGAGTCAATTGACTCTTATAATAATCTGGTAGTAAAATTGCCACCCCAGCCCCCTTTTGGCCACTTTGCTACATTTTTCCATCTTTTTAACTTCCAGCCTAGGCGCCCTGTTGCTAACCACAAGGTCAACAGTTTGAAACCACTAGTCCCTCTGTGGCACAAAGAAAGAGACTCATGCGTGTCAACAGTGGCAGTGAATGTAAATGGACTCAGAGCACCAGTCAGGAAGAGGACCCTCTGCGGTCGCTCTAGGGTCGCTGTGAGCCAGAGTGGGCTCGACGGCTGGGGCTCCTGGTTTACCTCCCCTGTTTCTGTCTTTGGGCCGATGTGCCTTTGATAACATTGAGTCTATTTGTATTCACTGTAGGAACAGTCTCTGCCACGTTTATTTTTTTCAGTGTGTCGGATCCCTCTTTTTGTAGGCGTGAACTATGTTGACCCCTTCTCCTTTTCTGGTGTTCATGCTGAGCTACTTACTTAAAACCATGTTGTGCTTTGGGTGGGTGGGTGGTGGTGGATGTCTGAAGACGGGTAGGCACCCTAGACCTGCTCACACCATCATCTTTCCAACCTAGGAGCCTTGGTGGCGTGGTGGGGTTCCCAGAATTCTGTGACTTTAGGCAGTTAGTATAGCTAGCTTAGGAAACCGTTACTGCGTAGCTGTTCTTGCTTAAGATGCGGTGCAAGCTTTGCAGTCATACTGGGTGGGGCCCTTTTACTGGAGGCACAGTCAGCGCTGGCGTTGGGAAGCCCCCATCCTCCCCTGCTGTTTCAAGGGGAGGCCGGCTACTGCCCACCTTTGTGCCTCCCAGGTGGACTCCCAGGGCCGCGCTGGGGGGCAGGTCCTGGAGGATGGTCCAGGCCACACTGCGGGGATCCTTGCTGCCAGAGGGTGCATCTGAGGGGCTGGGCTGTCTAGCCTCCACCCCAAGGGATACAGCCTGCTTCTCCCACCCTGCCCCAGAATGCCATCCGAGTTCCTCGGGACTTTGAGGGCTGCAGCGTCCTCCGCAAGTACTTGGGTCAGCTCCACTACCTGCAGAGCCGGGTCCCCATGGGTCTGGGCCAAGAGGCTGCTGTTGCTGTCACCTGGTGAGGCCTGGCAGGCAGGGTTGGGGGTATCTGGATGGTGGAAGTGCCCTTTCCCTCACCCCCTGCCCTGGTCCCAAACTGGGGTGACTCGTCCCCTCCCCTGGGCTCTGCCAGCCCCTTCCCTCAAGCTGACTGGACAGCATGTCTGCAGGACAGAGATCTTCTCGGGCAAGGCTGTGGCCCACGAGGACATCAAGTACGAGCAGGCCTGTATCCTCTACAACCTTGGTAAGCACCTGCGCCCTGCCCATGGGAGAACAAGGCTGGACTGGCCATCAACCTGCTCAGTCAGCCTGCTTAGGGGAGTCCCTGAAGCTTCTAGATCGGGCTCCTAGGCTGGGGGTACTGAGGTCAGCCCCTCTGTTCTCTGATGCCGGCTGTTGCCAGGGTCAGAGTGGGAGACTGAGGATCTTGGCTGGACTTCTGAGCTCTCTCACTTGTTCCAATTTTGATGAGCCTGGCACAGGCCAGGCAGCCCGGGCTGTTCTGACCCCATGCCCTCTGCCTCCCCAGGGGCACTGCACTCCATGCTGGGGGCCTCGGACAAGCGAGTGTCTGAAGAGGTGAGGAGGGGAGTGAGTGGGACGTGGGATGTAGCAGCGAGGGGTACTGATTGGCCTCCTGCAGTTGGGGTAGCTAACTGCACCCGCCTCCTCTCCCTCCCAGGGCATGAAGGTCTCATGCACCCACTTCCAGTGTGCAGCTGGTGCCTTTGCCTACTTGCGGGAGCACTTCCCTCAGGCCTACAGCGTGGACATGAGCCGCCAGATCCTCACCCTCAACGTCAACCTCATGCTGGTGAGGGACTGATGACGGCCGTGCCGAGACAGGTCGTGAAGGACAAGCAGGGGCTCTGTGGGCCTCTTGGGGGCAAGTGGGTCTTTGGGTGACGGAGGTGTGCTTCTCCATTGTTGGCCCAGGGCCAGGCTCAGGAGTGCCTCTTGGAGAAGTCGATGTTGGACAACAGGAAGAGCTTTTTGGTGGCCCGCATCAGCGCCCAGGTAAGGGCAGGGCTCGATGGTGACCTTCAAGGGACTGAGGACAGGCCTTTGGCTGACCCCAGCTTCCCCGCTACCTGGGCTCCAGGTTGTAGATTATTATAAAGAGGCATGCCGAGCCTTGGAGAACCCCGAGACTGCCTCGCTGCTAGGCCGGATCCAGAAGGACTGGAAGAAGTTGGTGCAGATGAAGATCTACTACTTTGCTGCTGTGGCACACGTGAGCACTTGCGTGCCCCCCCCCCACACACACATCCACACCCCATCACGGGGAGATTGGGCGGTGGGGGAACCCCCAGTGCAGGAAACATGCACAGAATTTCTTCTCTTCCAGCTGCACATGGGGAAGCAGGCGGAAGAGCAGCAGAAGTTTGGGGAGCGGGTGAGTGCGTGCGTGGTGCCTCCTGTGAGCTCCTGCTCTGGCCTTTCCTCCACGTGGGCCGGGCCAGGCGGTCTTCGGTCTCTGGCTGCCCCATCCCCAGCCTCCTGCTGCTTCTTAATTAGAACCCAGGAGCCTGAGGCGGCCTGGTGGTTGGGGGTGTAATCTGTGGGTGAGCCGGGTGGCAACCACCTTGGAAGCCTCCCTGGCCTCCTGTCTTGGGGTACCAATGGCAGGGCTAGGAAGGGAGGCCGGGCGGCGTTGAGGTCACGTGGGAAGGACAGCAGCTCTGCCCCCTGCAGGTTGCGTACTTCCAGAGTGCCCTGGACAAGCTCAATGAAGCCATCAAGCTGGCCAAGGTAAAGTCGCAAAGGGGCCTGGCTGTCCCCTCAAATTCCCGGGGAGGAGAGCCGTTTGGGTGGGTGCCTGGCGGCGCTGGGCTGGTGCTGAGGCCGGCCCCTCCCCTCCAGGGCCAGCCAGACACGGTGCAGGACGCACTTCGCTTCGCTATGGATGTCATTGGAGGAAAGTGAGTCTGCGGGTGGCTCTGCTTCTCTGTATTCCCACAGCTCTCATCCCCTGCCCCACCCCCTTTGTTCTTGAGAGGCTGGGTACTGGATTTCTGCCGATCCTTAGACTCCTGACTCCAGGTTTACCCACCCCAGGTACAATTCTGCCAAGAAAGACAATGACTTCATCTACCATGAGGCAGTCCCAGCACTGGATACCCTTCAGGCTGTCAAAGGTCAGGAGCTGAGGAGAGGCTGAGGATGGGGTAGGGTTGAAGATCTGGCGGGGGTGGGGGAGGTTTGAGAGGGGGCTAGCTAGAACAGTGGCACAAACGTTCTAGGACTCTGCGGGAGCCTTAACGCCACAGGTTTTTTCCCCAGGAGCCCCTTTGGTGAAGCCATTGCCAGTGAACCCCACAGACCCTGCTGTCACGGGCCCGGACATCTTTGCCAAACTGGTGCCCATGGCTGCCCATGAGGCCTCGTCATTGTACAGGTGGGAGGGAGGGAGGGGCCAGCCTGCTCATGGCACAAGTGGCCTCTGGGTATAGAGACCACAGACCCTCCCTGCTCCGTTGCTTTCCCTGCAGTGAGGAAAAGGCGAAGCTGCTTCGGGAAATGATGGCCAAGATTGAGGACAAAAATGAGGTCTTAGAGTGAGTGCGGGGCAGGGGTTGGGGAGGCCTGCCCTGGCAGGGGAGAACGGGCTAGTACCCACCCGATCCTGTTGTCTCCACAGCCAGTTCATGGATTCCATGCAGCTGGACCCAGAGACAGTGGACAACCTGGATGTGTACAGCCACATCCCACCCCCGCTCATGGAGAAGTGTGCAGCTCTCAGCGTGCGGCCCGACACCGTCCGGAACCTCGTCCAGTCCATGCAAGGTGAGTGTGGATCAGAGCCAGCCCGTGGGAGCGCTTCATACAGGAGGAGGCCCTGGAACAAGCATTCACTTTGTGACTGTCCCTGTGGCAGCAGGGCAGTAGAGTCTGGTCTGCCTGCCTCAGGCCTGGTGTTGTGCATGTGCCCTCCTGCCCAGTGCTGTCAGGTGTGTTCACGGATGTGGAAGCCTCTCTGAAGGACATCCGGGAGCTGCTGGAGGAGGAGGAGCTGCTGGAGCAAAAGTTCCAGGAGGCAGTGGGCCAGGCAGGAGCCAGCCCAGCAGCCTCCAAGACTGAGCTGGCGGAAGTGAGGCGAGAATGGGCCAAATACATGGAGGTCCACGAGAAGGCCTCCTTCACCAACAGTGAGCTGCACCGTGCCATGAACCTGCATGTTGGCAACCTGCGCCTGCTCAGCGGGCCTCTGGACCAGGTCCGCGCAGCTCTGCCCACACCAGCCCTCACCCCAGGTAAGCCTCACCAGCCCTCGGGAGATGTGGAGCTGGGGGCTTTTCAGCTCTCATCGAGCACTGCTGTCCCCAGAGGACAAGGCCGTGCTGCAGAACCTGAAGCGCATCCTGGCCAAGGTGCAGGAGATGCGGGACCAGCGCCTGTCCTTGGAACAGCAGCTGCGAGAGCTCATCCAGAAGGATGACATCACTGCCTCACTGGTCACCACAGACCACTCGGAGATGAAGGTGGGTGAGCAGGGGGGCCTCCAACTCTGAGCCTGCCCTTAGGTGGTGTGGACCCTGAGTGTCCTCAATCCTCCTCCTCAGAAGCTGTTTGAAGAGCAGCTCAAGAAGTACGACCAGCTGCGGGTGTACCTGGAGCAGAACCTGGCTGCCCAGGACAACGTCCTCCGAGCGCTGACTGAGGCCAATGTGCAGTATGCTGCTGTGCGGCGGGTGCTCAGCGATCTAGACCAAAAGTCAGTGCCCGGCCCGGTGCTGCCCCGCCCAAGCCACTCCCTCACCCCTCACCCCTCACCTCATGCTGGCCCTCTCCCTGGCCAGGTGGAACTCCACCCTCCAGACCCTGGTGGCCTCCTGTGAAGCCTACGAGGACCTGATGAAGAAGTCCCAGGAGGGCAAGGACTTCTATGCAGACCTGGAGAGCAAGGTGGCTGCTCTCCTGGAGCGAGCCCAGTCCACATGCCAGGCCCGAGAGGCTGCCCGTCAGCAGCTCCTTGACAGGTGGGTGGGGCCCCAATGGGGGTGGGGTGCCAGGCTGGGCCTGAGCTGGTTTGATGGGGTGCTGGTTCCACTCCTTCCTTGCCCCACAGGGAGCTCAAGAAGAAGCCGCCACCTCGGCCCACAGCCCCCAAACCACTACTGGCCCGTAGAGAGGAGGGTGAGGCGGCAGAGCCGGGAGACCTTCCTGAGGAGCTGCGCAGCCTGGCCCCTGACATGGTGGCTGGCCCCCGGCCGCCAGACACCTTCATGGGAACAGCTGCCCCCCTCCACTTCCCTCCCGGCCCCTTCCCCAGTGCCACAGGTCCAGGACCTCACTATCTTCCAGGTCCTCTGCCCCATGGTACCTACTCAGGCCCCCCACTGCTACCGCCCAGGCATCCCCAGGTCCCAGCACACCCTGCTGTGGCCGTGGCCCCTGGGCCTGCCCTCTATCCACCCCCCGCCTACACCCCTGAGCTGGGCCTTGTACCCCGATCCTCCCCACAGCACGGGGTGGTGAGCAGTCCCTACATGGGAGTAGGGCCACCCCCACCTGTTGCAGGCCTGCCCTCGGCCCCACCTCCCCAGTTCTCAGGCCCAGAGGTGGCCATAGGGGTCCGGCCAGCCACTACCACTGTGGATAGTATCCAAGCCCCAATTCCCAGCCACCCGGCACCAAGGCCAAACCCTGCCCCTGCTCCCCCCCAGCACTGCTTCCCAGTGCCTCCCCCCTACCCCTACCCTATGGGAGCCAAGCCCCCCCTCCCGGTGCCCCCAGCCCAGCACCACTTTCCTCCCAGGGTCCCCACAGCTTTTTCAGCCCCAAGGGTTGCCCCGCAACCCCACCCCTCTCGAGTAGCATTCGGGCCCCAGCCCCCCCAGCAGCCCCTTCCACTCCCACATCCACACCTTTTCCCACCCCAGGCCCCAGGCCCCCTTCTTCCACAGCCCCACTTCCCCTTTGCCCCTCAGCCAGGAGTCCTGGGGCAGCTGCCACCCCCCATGCACACCCAGCTGTATCAAGGCCCTGCTCAGGACCCTCTGCCTCCCCGCTCGGGGGCTCTGCCTTTCCCCAGCCCTGCCCCCCCGCAACCTCCCCATCCCACCCTGGCGTATGCCACTGCCCCTGCCCCCAGGCCCCTGGGCCCCCAGGCAGCTCCACTCTCTATTAGAGGCCCCCCACCTGTCAGCCAGCCGGCCCCAAGCCCCCACCCGGTGCCTTCACCTGCCCCGTCACCAGGGCCTGGCCCACTCACCCCTCGGCCCCCTGCAGCAGAGCCACCCCCGTGCCTGCGGCGAGGCTCCGCTGCTGCAGACCTGCTCTCCTCCAGCCCCGAGAGCCAGCATGGGGGTGCCCAGCCTCCAGGGGGTGGGCAGCCCCTGCTGCAGCCCACCAAGGTGGACGCCACCGAGGGCCGGCGGCCCCAGGCTCTGCAGCTGATTGAGCAGGACCCCTATGAGCACCCTGAGAGGCTGCGGCAGCTGCAGCAGGAGCTGGAGGCTTTCCGGGGCCAACTGTGGGACACCGCTGCTCTGGACACCACCTGGCGGGAGCTGCAGGATGCGCAGGAGCACGATGCCCGGGGCCGTTCCATCGCCATTGCCCGCTGCTACTCCCTCAAGAACAGGCACCAGGATGTCATGCCCTACGACAGTAACCGGGTGGTGCTGCGCTCGGGCAAGGACGACTACATCAATGCCAGCCGTGTGGAGGGGCTCTCGCCCTACTGCCCGCCCCTGGTGGCCACCCAGGCCCCCCTGCCTGGCACGGCTGCTGACTTCTGGCTCATGGTGCATGAGCAGAAAGTGTCCGTCATTGTCATGCTCCTGTCTGAAGCAGAGATGGAGAAGGTGAGCGGCAGGGTGGGGCAATAGCCTGCCTGTGAGGACATGGGGGTGCAAGGGCCCCGGCAGACCCGCTTGTCTGCCCACAGCAAAAGGTGACGCGCTACTTCCCCACGGAGCGGGGCCAGTCCATGGTGCACGGGCCCCTGAGCCTGGCCCTGAGCAGCGTCCGTGCCACCGAAACCCATGTGGAACGTGTGCTGAGCCTCCAGTTCCGGGACCAGAGCCTCAAGCGTTCCCTGGTGCACCTGCACTTCCCCACTTGGCCTGAGCTGTGAGCCTGCCCTGGGTTGGGAGGGCGAGTGGGGAGGGTTGACCCCGTCCAGACCTGGTTCATGACCCTGCCCTCCCCGCAGAGGCCTGCCTGACAGCCCCAGCAACCTTCTGCGCTTCATCCAGGAGGTGCACACACACTGCCTACACCAGCGACCCCTGCACACGCCCATAGTTGTGCACTGCAGGTGAGGAGCAGGGGCAGCAGCTGCCGAGGGTCCCCATGGGCCCCCCGTGTGGCCTTACATGTTCCCCTCTGCCACAGCTCTGGTGTGGGCCGCACGGGTGCCTTTGCCCTACTCTACGCAGCAGTGCAGGAGGTGGAGGCTGGGAATGGGATCCCGGAGCTGCCTCAACTGGTGCGGCGCATGCGGCAGCAGAGGAAACACATGCTGCAGGAGAAGGTGAGGCCTGCCCACCCAGGTGGGGCCCGGCCCTCTGCCCTAGGGTGGCCAGGCTCTGCCCACTGACCGGCCTGTTCCCCCTCCAGCTGCACTTGCGGTTCTGTCACGAGGCCGTGGTGAGACACGTGGAGCAGGTCCTGCAGCGCCATGGCATGCCCCCCCCCTGCAAGCCCCTGGCCAGCACAGGCACTAGCCAGAAGGTGAGGAGGGGGCCTCTGAGGTTTACTGGGCTTGCCTGCTCCAGCCTCTAAGCCCCCTCCTCACCCGCATCTGTTCCACTAGAACCACCTGCCTCAGGACTCCCAGGACCTGGTCCTTGGCGGGGATGTGCCCATCAGTTCTATCCAGGCCACCATCGCCAAGCTCAGCATTCGGCCACCTGGAGCCTTGGAGCCCCCGGTTGCCAGTCTGCCGGGCCCTGCAGACCCCCCAGGCCAGCCTCCACTCAGTCTGACAGAACCTTCCCAGCTCCCACCCTCCTCACCCCCTCCACCCTCTCCCATGCCCGAGGACCCCCAGCCTGTGGAGGAGCTTCCAGTGCCTGAAACCCCCAGCCCAGGGCCCCCCTCTTCCTCCCTGGAGCTGCTGGCCTCCCTGACTCCGGAGGCCTTCTCCTTGGACAGCTCCCTGAGGGGGAAGCAGCGGATGAGCAAGCAGAACTTCCTGCAGGCCCACAACGGGCAGGGTCTCCGGGCAGCCCGGCCTGCTGACGACCCCCTGAGCCTTCTGGATCCACTCTGGACGCTCAACAAGACCTGAATAGGCTCCACCTGCCTGGTCTGTACACTACTTCATCTCCGGTGCCCCCCACCCCTGGGCCCTTCAGAATGGGCACGTCTCCTCCCGTTTCCTGCTGCCTTTAGCCTTGGTCTCTCTGGTGGGGAAGCATCAGAAACCTTGAGTGAGGTTCTGTGCCTCTGTGGGACCTGACCATTTTTTTTCCAGCTCTTTGCGATGGAAACAATAAACAAACCTGTTCTGTGCCGAGTGTCCCTCCGGGGCCAGCTCATGCTCAGCTCTGCAATGGCCCACACTGCCATCGAGTCCGTTCCCTGGAGGGTTTCTGAGACTGTAAGCCTCCCCTTTGTCCCACACAGCGGCTGGTGGGTTTGAACTGAACCATATCCACATGAGCCAGGAGCTCTCTGGGAAGAAGTGCCTTCACAAGCCTGTACCAGTTTGGTTTAAAAAAAACAAACAGTTTTATTTTGGAGGCAGCAGGGCAGGTACTCTGTCCTTCCCTGCAGCCTCAGTCCAGTGCATCGACTGCCTTCAGTCCAGTTTCTCCAGCACAGAGGGCACATAGACCAGGCTGAGCTCACTGCCGAAATTGCAGACAATGGCCGAGTTGTCCAGCACCAGGATCTGGCGGGCAGGCTGGGCCTCACTGCTCTTTCCCAAGTAGACAGTCTGCAACAGGTCCCCGTAGTTTAGGTCCCAAAAGGAGACACAGCCTTGCCCACCAGTCACCAGCAGGTTGTCTGAGATGACACCCAAGCTCGCACCGCAGCCTAGGTCCTGGAGGCAGTAAGACAGGTTCAGTGCCAGGAAGGCCTCTCAGACAGAGGCAAGAATCCTGCCCTCTACCCTCAACCCATCTACCTGCTGAATAGAATAGAGCTTGATGCTGGTGCTGCGGTCCCAGATGCTAATGAGGTCATCCAGGCCGCTACTGATGACGCAGGAGGCAGTACAGGTGAGGGAGGTCACATCCCCACGGTGGGCGAACATGTGGCTGACGCGGCTTCCAGTCAGCACGTCCCACAGGCAGATAGCCCCATCTTGGCCTCCACTAGCCAGCACCATGGTCTGAGGGACATCCAAGAGGGCTGGTCAGGGACTGCGTTTTGGACACGGTGCCCCCCTGCCTTCTGGAAGGCACTGGAGGGCCAGGAGTTGGATGGGTGCCTGCAGCCTTCCCCAGGCCTTTACCTGGTCAATGTACACGGTGGTGACAGCCCCTGAATGGCCCTGCAGGGTAAAGAGACAGCACGAGTCTTCCAGCCGGAACACCTGAAACAGGGCAGGCAGCTCATGAGCCCCAGCACAGCCTTAGCCTTTCTTCCCAGGTAACTCACACAGCTGCCCTCCAGCCAAGACCATGGTGGGCTCACTCTCAGGGTGTGGTCTTGACTCCCAGTGACGAGGCGCCCGGCAGCGGCCTTCAGAGCCGTGATGGGCTTCTGGTGAGCACAGGGCACTGTGTGGGTCAGGCGGCAGGCCACCAAACCACTGCTGCTGTACACGGGGGAGGTGGGGACGCTGCCTCGCCCTGGAGCCCCTGGGGGAAGAGGTCATGTGAGGGGTCTCTGCGAGCACCTTGGGGGCTGCCTCCCCACACTCGACAAGCTGGCCCTCTGACCTCGGAACTGCAGGGGGCTGAGGGCAGTGTGGGTCTCCAAGGAGAAGAAATCGAGGGAGCCATTGAGCCGGGCAGCCACAATCCTGAAAAAGAGGCGCTGCCAGGGTGCCCCTCCCTCAGCCCGCTCAGGGATGAGGGGGCAGGAGGGCCCTGGCCCAGAGCAGGCTGCAATTCCAGCAGCTGACCTCAGTCCTGTCCCTCTGTAAAATGGGGACAGCAATACAGTCGCCACCTAGGGGGCCTCCCCACAGGATTCTAGAGAACACATCTACTCTAGCCCCTCCCACTGTCTCCTTCCCTCCCTCTCCCCTCCCCTAAACCCCTTAGGTACCATAGGCTTCCCCTGAAGCTAAAAGCCATGCAGCAGGGAGGGTTCCCAGCAGCCTTGGGGAGGCCAGGGCACTGGGCTGGAGCTGTGCTCAAGAGCTGGACCACAATGACCCAGCAGTGGGCAGTGGCTAGGGCACAGGGCACCCATCCGAATGAAGGCTCCTGCTCTAGCTCAGATGGCAGCCAGCCAAAGGCAGGCGGGAGGTAGGTTCTAAGAGGGTGGTGTTTCTGAAGGTAAGACGCAGCTGATGAGTTTCAGGGTGAGGAATGGGGCGTTTCCACTCCGCTAAGGAAGTGACCCAGACCATGACACTGCTCAGTTGTCATCCCTGGTTCCCAGGTGCGGCGCAGGGCCCCACCTCGCTTACCTTCTGTCAAGGAAGACGAGGGCCGTGATGCCTGAGGAGACCTCCTCACTGCTGCAGCAGAGGCCCCCCTCAATGGCGTCCCACACCTGCAACCACAACTCGTAAACACCTGCCCTCCCCGCACCGTGAAGCCTGCGGGCCCGCCCACCGGCCCTGCCCACCTCCAGCCGGCCACTGCTCCGCCCCACCACGACCAGGCTGCCCTGCAGCTCCAGGCTCCAGATGGACCCGTCCGCGCTGGGGGCCCAGACAGGAGAGGGGCCCTTCTCTGGAGATGCGGCCCCTTCCTCCTCGGAGGCCAGCGGCAGTGCAGGCGAGGGCGGCAGCCTCTCCTCCTGGTACACCCGCTGCACCAGGAGGCTGAAGTCGTAGCCTCGGGTGTCTGGAGCCCGCCCACAGCCAGCCCGGTGCCGGGGCTCAGGCTGGGTGGGCTCGGGGGGCTGCAGGCGCGACTGTGCTGAGAAGTTGGTGTCGATGAGGCTGGTGAGGTCTGGCTGGTCCTCGAAGAGGGAAGGTGGCAGAGGGCCCCGGTGGTGGAGCTGCAGCGGGGGACTGTCCCCAGACTCCTCCGGGCCACCCTTCCCGCCGTCGGACAGCCGCTCCCAACTCTCCTGAGCCTCAAACACGCTGCCAACACCACTGTCCTGGCGCTGCCTGCTGGTGGGCCCAGAGGAGAATTGAGGCAGGGTGGAGGCATTGGTCGGGGGAGGGGGGCAGAGGAGGGGGTTAGGGGTGAGGCAGAGGGGAGGTGGAGGCCGCACCTACCCAGGGCGTGGGATTCGTGTGAGGCAGTCCCCGGTCTGGGCATCCCACACACACACGTGGCCCGCCAGACAGCAGCTCACCAACAGCATACCATCGCTGGCCAGACACTCAATGTCCTGGGGGTTGGGAGGGGCACTGCTGTGGGCCTGGCTGTGGGCACACCACCCCCTGGCTGCTGCCAGCACTCACCATGAGGTGCCCGCGCAGCACCAGGGGCACGATCTCGGTCTCGGGAGGCGCGTAGCCATAGTCGTCACAGGGCAGCTCCCCACGCTTCCTCCTGCCGGGCCTACCGGGCTGCCCGTAGTTGCGGGGACACAGCACGCGGTACAGGCAGAGCAGCAGCAGCACCAGCACGATGCCCGCAGCCAGGCCGAGCGCCGCAACCCTGTGCCCATGGAGAGGGGCTGTCAGGCCTGCCTGCCCGCCTGCCCTCCGCAGCCCAGCTGTGCCCGGTCATGAGCCTTACTTGTACAGGGTGATGTCTCTGTGGGCCTGCGTCCCACCAGGTCCCTTGGGGTTGGTCTCCCAGAGCCCACTGTATGCAGGGCCGGGCCCCAAGGGCGGCCAGGCACTTTGGCCATCCTGTGGATGCCGCCCCTCCAGAGCTTCCCTTGGGTTCAGGCGGAGGGTGACGGGGATGACAGGCAGCAAGCTGATGTACCTTGGACGGGGGACAGGTGGGCCTCAGAAGGGAGACCTGAGGAGGTTGCCCCCTGCTGCTGCCCCGCCCTCCCTAGCTCAACAAGTCAGGTCTGTTGTAGTCCCAGTCCCAGAAATCCAGCCCCCACCCTGCCACCATCCCACCCAGGGCCAAGGCCTTCTCTCCCTGCAGAGTGGGCAACCAAGCGGGTGGGTCCCACTCTGGCCATGGGGCTGGCAGCCCCCCGGGAGCCCCAGGGCAAAGACCCAGGGCTTCTCTGTGGAAATGGCAGCTGCTTGGAGCGCAGCTCCTACCCTTACCCCTTGTGGGTTGTTTTAAATTGTGTGGAAGAAAATGCAGAGTTCACACCAGCGGGTCTCCCTAGGCAAACGGACAGGGACTCACCTCTTGGCCAGTGTGATGTTGTAGTAGCTGAACAGGGTGGGCCAGTGGCGGAAGGACAGTTTCCTCCAGAGTTCCTCATCCTCAGGCCCCCAGGTGACCTCTGGGCCTGGGCTGTCAGGGACACCTTCGGCCGGACCCACGGGTCCAGGTGGCTCCCTGAGTGATGTCTGGTTCTCGGCTGGCTTAGGGGGGTCAGGTGGGAAGATGGAGAAGGCAGGGTCTGGGTGGCTGGCGGGCAGCACCCCGCTGGGCACAGGCACGGGAGCCAAGGCACCTTCACCCAATGGACTCTGTTCTGTCACCTGGGCAGCAAGGTAGGTCCGCAGCCCTGCTGGATCTGTGTACACCAGGATGCCAATCCACACGACAGTGCCAGCCTGCAGTTGGGCATTGGGTGGGGGCTCAGTAGGAAGAGTGGGCAGCTGCAGCCCCCAGCTGCCTTAGCCCTCTGCTGCCGAGCGACCCCTTCCCCCATCCCTGGCCACTCTTTCCACAGGCGGGGGTGTGGTGGGGTGGGGGGAGGGGCTGGGTTTCCCAGACCTGCCCCACCCCCAGCCAAGCCTCAGCTGTTTGTGGGGTCAGCAGGTGCCCCGAGCCCCAGTCCTGGGAGGGCCTGGCCTCAAACCCCGCTTCAATCACCTCGCTCTACTCCTGACTGCCTGCCCGGCCTGTGCTTTATCACTGAGGCTTGCCCCCGGTGGAGCAGACCCATGGGAAAGAACTTGTGGCCGTGAGCTGGTTTGCCCGTGACCCCAGCTAGCAGGCTCCTCCCCGGGCTGCCCTGGGCCTGGGGGAGGGAACAGCTCTTCCCCATGAGGACCTGGGGCCTGTGTCCCCCAGAGGTGGCTCATCCTCTCAGAAACAAGCAGGGCCTGGGAAGGGAGCACATCGTGGCTGAAGACCAGCCCCTGCTGGAAGCGCAGGTACCATGATGAGGCGCTGAGCCAGGCGGGTGCGGGCCAGGAAGTAGACAACGCGCAGCCTCTTCGGGAGCCGCAGGTTCCGGAAGGAGGACGGTTGCAGCGTAATGGTGTGGGGTGTGGATGGCCGCAGGGCCGATGACCGCTCGTGACGTGCTGTGCGCCCCAGTGGCTTGGCGTGGGGCAGGCAGGCCTCTGGGGGGAGCCGCTTATTTAGGTCTGCCAGCTGTGGAGGGGCAGTGGTCAGGGCCTGGGTGTCTCTCTGGCCCAGAGGACCCCCGTCCATCCCTCTGTCCTCGGGGCTGGGAAGAGAGGCCGGGCCGGGTTCACCCCCTTACTTCCATGCGGCGAATGTCAATGGACAGGACCGTGGTGAAGAACAACATCTGGAGGAAGAAGTCGGACACCAGCCCCACGACGGCAAAGAGACAGAACTCCTGGAGAAAATCAGAGGGGGGGCATTACCTCCTGGTCCTGAACCCCAGAGAGCAGCTCCCTCCCTGCCCAAGGGGCCTCAGAAGGAGATTGGGGGTGGGCACAGCAGAGGTGGCAGCAGGCCCAGGGACTCCCGGAATCTAGAGTGGCCAATCACCACCAGGGGGCAGCAGAGAACCCACACCTCAGGGTGGGTGTGCTCCCTGAATCCTCAGGTCTCCAGAGAGGAAGCCACACTGTCTTGGGTGGGAACCTCTGGGACCCCCCCACCCCCACCTGCTCTCCACGGAGTAGCTGGCCAACACCTTCCAGAACAGAGGGGTGGGAGGGGGCCCCTGGCCCAACTTGGGCTCTGAGATGGTTGAAGGTGGGTGAATGCTGAATCTCAGGGATGGAGCCGGTACAGAGGGGCAGAAACTGACTGCCTCAAAACTGGGGGTGGTGACAGTGATCACTCTGGGATGTCCTGTCTCCGTCTTGCCTGCCCCTGGCACCCCTCACCATGCCAGCTGGCACATCCGGAGGCTGCTGGGCCAGACTACAGACCATGCTCCTGGCCACCTGGGGCTAAATCTGGAGCCCTGCTCACCTCCGAGCACCCCACACAGAGCAGGCCTAGCGCCCTGGGGGAAGGTGGGGAGTGACAATTGCATCATGCCCCCCCTCTGCCCCAGGACAGTCAGCAACAAGGTGGGGTCCTGACTCAGTACTAGCCCCAACTCAGGGCCATGGGCGGCCCCCATGGAAGGAGGATGGAGTCAGAGGCTCCACCCTCTGCCTACTCTGAGCCAGCCCAGCGCCTGCCTTAGCTCCTGAGTTCCAGCAGCCAGGATGGAGTAACCCACCAGGGCCACTGAGTGCCTTACAGAACAGGATACCCCATCTCAGGTGGGGCTGGCACCACAGTGGGTGCACCCTGCCCATGGGCGCACAGCTGCGGACAGTTCTGGCCCCAGAGGGGCCTGCATGACAGGGGCCTTACCTGGATGGCAGGCACTAGGGTGAAGTAGCCAATGAGGATGATGCCCAGCTCCGTGGCCACATTCTTCATGATGGACCAGCTCTCGTTGCTGAGGCCTGCAGCAGAGCAGGCCAGGGGGGCCTGCGAGTTAGCACATAGCCCGGGGCACCGAGAACCCTACCTGCCCCCTCCCCCCCACCTCCCCACCCGTGCTGTTAGGGCACATGGCTGCTGCAGGATGAAGGGACCAGGGAGACCTCGGCTCTCAGGAGACAGACGAGCTAGCCTGAGAGAAAACCCAGGGCCTCCCACTCAACCAGCCTCCATGTGGGCACAGCCAGGAGCTGCCTGCCCCTCCCCCGCACAGAGCCTGGGCCAGGAGTTGCCTCCTAGTGTATCCCCTCGTCACTGCACCTCCACATCTCACTCGGGGCCTGGCTCCTCAGAGAAGCTTCTAGAGGGTGCATGACTACTCCTGGTCCTCCCAAACTGGATCAGGAGGAGGTTCCAGGCCAGGCCTCCAGTGGGGGCTCTCTCTCTCTCTTCTTGATTTCCTCAGAACCCCAAGGCGTCTACCAGTGAGCTCTGAGGGGGCTTTTCTGACGCCAGAGAGGCCAGTGTGAGAGGCAGGAAGAGCAGCCCAGGCGAAAGGCAGCTGCCACACACCCGGGACCACTCGGCAGCAGAGCCTGGTGGGTTTGCTCTGAGGACCACCCGAGCCACAGCCAAGTGCAGTGCAAACACCCTGTAGCTCCTTGGGGCACGCTGCCTGGCGGCTGGCTGCACAAAGTGCAGGGCCGGGAGAGGGCTCCGGGCACACCAGGGCAGGAGGAATAATGGGCGTGCCCTTCCAGATTCCACCCACTTCTGCCCCTCTCCCCCATTACCTTGGGCAATGCGCAGCTTCACCTCCAGGTCCACTGGGGTAGAGACTACTGACTTGGTGAGCACCAGCACGTTCTCTAGCCCAATCACCACCACCAGGTAGGGGAAAATCTCTCTGCGGGAGAGGGTGTGTGTGTGGGCAGTGTGGAGGCTGCCCACCCACAGCACGGCTGGCTCGCAGCAGGTTTGGGACCCTGCAGCGAAGACTGAGCAACTCCTAGCATGGGCTGAGACCCCTGCGTCCTTCACACGGACCTGGCCTCTTCCACATTCTTCCTGTCTCCAGGCAGGCCGAGGAGCCTTGCCAAGGGCCCAGTGACCATTTGTCCACAAGAGGTGAGGGGGGGGCCGAGGTCCTGCTGCCCCAGGGCCAGAGGCCAGATCTTCCCACTCTGCCCACCCCAGAGGCTGCTGGTCAATGGCCACTGCCAAGAGCCCACAGAAACACCCACGGCCAGGCCATCCCGACTGAAGGGTGGGAGAGGCTGCCAGCCTAAAGCCCAAGTCAGCTTTCTCAGAATTGTGTCTGGGTCAGAGTGGTTCTGCGACACCAGACCCCACTAGCGCCCTCACTGCCCAGGCTGCCTGGGACGGGGCAGACTGTCCAGGGCCTTCCAAGGCTGCAGTCTTTACCAGGTCTCCTCACCCCCTCAGCCCAAGGCTCCTTCTCACATCCCTGGAAGCAGAGTGCAGAAGAAGCCCAGGCCCACAACTGCCTGCAGCGCAGACCTGTGTAGGGAGGGCCTGAGGGGACAGCAGGAAGCTAATGGGCAGGCTGCTCAATGCGTCTGGGCCAGGAGAGGGCGGCCAGCAGGAACCATTGTGGGGTGGCTTTGGCTGCGGATCAGCTGGACAAGTCGAGTCGTGGTGGGGGAGACTCGACTCCCACTCACAGGATGGAGGGGCCTCATCTGCTGGAGGGCACAAGACCAGTGCCCACCAGAGAAGGAGAGACAGCAGCGGATGGGAACCTCAGCGAGAGGCGCCTCGTGATGGGGTGGAGGTATCTTCTAAAACCCTGGCCCTAGAATCACCTACTTCACCAGCTTGTTCAATGCTTTAATATTAACCAGGGAGAGACGCCGACCTCACGCCAACCGAGAAGTGGGGTGCATGTGTATGGGCACACATAGCACGTAAGCACACACAGCCACCATACACACACACTCTGAAGGCAAGGATCCAGCTCACTAACCCTTCCCCCAAGAATCCGCGCTTCACCACTGCCCAGTCCTGCACCGTTTCAGTCAGGTAGACAAAACTACATGAAAAAAAAAAAAAAAAGACCTGCTCTCCCAGCTACACCATGTCTCGATGGAATGGGGCATTCTCAAGGGATCACAGTTGTGTTCTTTTAGCGTTTTCTTCGAATTTAGGGCTGAGAAAGGCCTCTGAGTACACGCAGGAGTGTTGGGATAAAAATCACCCCTCGGGGCATCCTGACTGGCTCACCGATGCAGTTTTCAGCTTCCTTAAAATGTCCTCCTAGGAGGCCCTGGTGACCCTCCCGTGTCCTCTGAGAACACCAGGTAGACCAGCACTGAGGGATCCTAACACACAACTGCCATCCACTGCAGCTGACCTCGCGACCTTGGGAACCACTGTTTGAAGGCAGCCTATGGCGAACATCTGAGAGGACTCGTCGTCTACGGCCCCCCGATGCTCAGAGAGACATGCTTACACACACACACACACACACCCTGCATGTATGAACTGGAGCCCGAGAGGTGCACAAACACACATATGTACGTAATGCACACCTATAGGGTATGCATGAAGAAATGTCATTCTTCAACGTCAAAGATAATCATGAGAGGGCACAGAGGGGCGACAAGTGCTCAGATGTGCACAGCACTAGCTGAGGGCCCACCCTGCAGCCCAAGGGGACCCAGTTGAGGACCTACCCGCCGTTGAGGGTGGGCGTCAGGCCAAAGAGCGTGCAGAGCCCCACAGACATGAGCAGCGAGCTGAGCACCGTGACCACGGCAGCTAGGGCCAGCCCCCACTTGGACTTGACCATGTCGATCTTGCCTGAAGGTCAGAGAGAGCAGGTCAGCACAGCACCTCCCCAGGCCCCACAGGCCCTTCCTGACTTAGCTTCTGGGCAGCAGGGGTCCCTAAGAATCAAAGGAGGGGCAGCTCCCATGTTAGCAAAAGAGATCATAGGCCTTCCCAACCTCATAGACACGTGCACCTCGTGGGGACCCCTGGACTCCCAACCCTGATCCCTTACTGGATGGGTAGATGCCTAGCCTCTGTGCCCAGCAGGGCTGGTGAACACCTCTGCCCAGGGCGCCTCCACAAGCAGGTGGTCTGGGAGCGGGGGTGGGGGTCGTACGTGTGGAGAAGTAGATGTAGGCAAACAGGATGATGTAGGTGGTCACCAGGGGGATGAGTTCCGCGATGCCGATCTCCTCTTTGAAGTGCACGTGGACCAGGCTCTCTGCCCGCAGGCTGCAGTTGGGGCTGGGGTGCAGCAGCATTAGGCGGCCCCGCAGGTTGCCCAGGAACCTGGGCACGCACACACGCATGGAGGGGTGGCAGGTGGTCCGGGGACAGAGGGCCCCTCTCCCGCCTGTGTTATAGGGCACTCTGCACAGCTCCCAGGGCTGTGTGAAAACTGCACAGTTGGCACGTCCCTCAGGGGTCCTCGCTCCTTTCCCACCCATCCCGAGTAGACAATCCTTGGAGAGCACCCTGCAGTACAGTGAGGGAGGACTCGGTGGCCACCCAGGCTGAGCAGTGGCCAACTAGGGATGTCTGCCCTAGGCCAGAGCAGGCAGTGGGGGCAGCAGCACGCTGGACAGGCCAGCCCCCCCAGAGGCTCTTTTTCTTAATCGGCTGTCAGCCCCTCCTCAGTCCATCTAAGGGAGGTGAACAGTTCAGGAGGAGTTCTCAGAGAGCACCCTGAGCCCAGCAGGGGTGTGCAGCTGCTCAGCATGCACCCGCCGCAGGCCAGGCAGACACTCGGCACCACAGGCTTACTTGGCATGGTACTGCCGGAAGACCAGGGTAATGGTATAGGAGACCATCCTCCGCCGCGTGTAGAGGCTCACCCCGCTGTACTTCCCAGGAACCCCAAACAGCAAGTCTGCAGACAGAGACAGTGAAGACGGGTGAGGCCTGTGCTCTGTCAGGGGCCCCGTGAAGCAGGGGGCAGTGCAGGCACTGCCTGGGCACCTTTGAGCGTGGCAGAGGTCTGCAGGGTTTTGGGCTCGTGCTGGTGGATGGTCCCGATGATGTCAGGGTCAGCGTGGAACCGTTCTCGGTCATTCTGCCAGAAGTTCCCGGGGGAGAGCAGCAGGCATCCATGCTCGGGGAGCACGTTCCGGAGCTTTCTGAGGCCAGGCAGCAGGTCGGTCACCTGCAGGCACACGTCCTCCAGGCTCCTGGTCCCAGAGCTGTGGGAGGGACAGGACCAGGCCTGGCTGTCTGCCAGCAGAAGGCAGGCCCACTACATGCAGGTCAGGTTCCTTCATGGCCTGTACCCTGCTCCCTGGCACCTCCCTCCAGAGAGACTCAGGGACAGGGTGGCAGAGGAGAGTCTTCTCAGGAGGGCCGCAACCAAGCCAACTGGCTGGCTGCCCCTCAAAGTGCACCTGGAGCCCAAAGCTCATGCCCCTCTGAGAGGATAGGCAGGCGTGGGTGTTCCAGGAGCAGAAACAACTCCCCACCCCCACGCTTCCCTCCCCCACCCCCAACTGGGCAGCCGATCTGAGGGTCCAGAATGGGTAGAGTTAAAAAAAATCCTCTGAAAGCTGCCAGCTAGAGGCAGCGAGCTGGGCCCTGGGGAGGGTACCTGTCTCTCAGCACGTGGTTCCGGATCTCCTCCACCAGCTGGAACGCCCGCGACAGAGGCGAGCGGAACACATCCACAGCCAGGAGGTCCTTGTGCCAGGGGGAGACGGAGGACTTGACAAATATCTGCTGGATGTATGCCACCGGGGCGCCCACGTACTGCAGGGGGGTGGGGCAGACAGACCAACTATCACTGAGGGGTAATGGGTCCACAGCTCACGGGATAGACTGCACCCCTGTGGTGGGCACAGTACAGAGACAAGCCACCAAAGACAGACTTCCGAAGGGCAACCCTTTCCCCACGGCACCTGGTTTTCGGATAGTCTCACTGTATCCCAACCCTGCTCGTGCCGCACACACCGCCTGCGGCTGCTTTCCTGCCATCAGTGCAGAGGTCAGAGGTTGTGACACAGACCATCTGACCCACAACCGGAAGCAGAGCCCATTAGGGAGGTCCCCCCCCAACTGTGCAGTATACTTGTCCACACACCCCGCCCCGTCATCAAGAGCCCAGCTCTGCCCCAGGCAGGGCAGTGGCTTGTGAAATCACAAGGCCCACGCTGCGCTCTCAGTTCTCCCCGTGCATGGCAGGGCTTGTGTGCAATCTGGGATCGCCATGCCTCATTGGGGAAGGGCTGCTGACATGCACGCTGCAGGGTCCAGCAGAAGCAGGCACGTGTACACTATATGCTCACATATGAGGGGCTGCATGCAGTCCACAGGAAGATTTCACCCTTCAAGTCCATCTTTCATGAACATTTTGAAGCCCCCTCAAAAGAGTGGGCAGCACACAGCTCCTTGGCTGCTGGACACTGTGTGTCTGCAGACCCAGTGGACAGGCGTCAGATGCAGGGAGTAGGTACTAACAGGAAGTTTAGTGGCACACAGCTGAGGAACAGCGTACTGTGACAAGCCGGGAGCAGAGAATGCCCTCAGCTTCAGGGGTAGCAGAGAGAGGCAGGGACTCACACCCAGGTCTCCTCCCTGACCATCTCCCACTTCTCTCCCCAGAACAGGCCATCTGCCTGTAGAGGGCTTACGGCAGGCATGCAAGTGGCAGAGCTGCCCGCATGGGTGACAGGTGTCACGGAGCAGCCCTGAAACAAGAAGGACTAGGCTAGCTAGGGCAGGATTTCCGGCATCAAAGGGGTCAGTGCGGGCATCTGGGTGCAAGGTCGGTGAGAGGGCAGACGCCAGCCCAGCACAAAGGGCTCCAGGGGCCTAGCCTGACCGACTGTACCCACTACCACCCTGGAAGGTGTCACCGCCATGGTGAGCCAGGTGGCTTGGCCTCCAGAATCAGAAGCTGCCGGGGCACGAGTGCTGGGAAGGGAAGGCCAAGGAGCACCCGGCGGTGGGATGACTGGTCACTGCCAGGCAGGAGTCAAGAGGCTACAGAAGCAAAGCGAAGAAACCACCCGCCCCCGCTCTGCTCTTGGGCACAAAGAAGCCAGCTGGAGCAGCAGTCGGTCTTGGCCTGACAGGAAGCGTCAGCACCAGAAGTGGCCGCTGGCACCTGCCAGGAGACACAGGCTCCGGTGGAGCTGGGAGTCCCTGGCTCTGACCTGAGCTGCAAGCTCATCCGCTCGAGCCTGAGTTGGGGGAGGGCTGTCCAAAGACAGGCAGCTCCACCTAGACAGTGGCTCCCAGAGGCCATCTCAAGCCCTGTGACAGCTGCACATCCCATCTCCTGGACCACACCCATCCCCATCAGGCCCACGGAGTCTGCGCCCCTGCAGTCGCCCCAGTTCCAAGTCATCCAGCCTCCTTCCAGCTGGGGCCACCATTCCAACCAAGTTCCGGGGGACACACTTCACAAGTGGCACTCTCTACCCTCACCTTTGCTGGGAGGTGAGTGCACCCCCACCTCCTCCTTTCTAGGGGAGAGGACCCATTGCTTCCATCAGATTTCATAAGAATGCACAACCCCGTTACCAGGAGGGGGCTTCAAAGAGCTCAGGAAGTGTTTCAGGATCTTTCCTTCCATTGTACCACAAACCCTTGCATATGTCCAATCCTGAGTCAAACCCACTGCTCACTTGTTCGCCCTGTTTGGTTGGCGAGCCTCACGGACAAAGACAGGAGCCACGTGGGCATGCGCTCACTGCCGCTGCAGCAGGCTGGCCAGTGTGGGCTGTGTCCCTCTGCTGGCCACCAGCTCACCCCACTGACAGTCACTGGAACTTGCCAATCAGCTGGTCTGCATCTTCCCACTGCTCTCAGAATCTCCTTAAATGTCTCACCACCTCATCCCGCATACATGGCCCTCAATCCCCACCTCAGGGAGTCAGGATCGCTGTGGCTGATTCCACAGGGGTCTCAGCATCCAGGACGGCTAACAGAAACACCACACGGACGGCTTTGGGACACACACTTGTCACCAGTTGGCTACCGAGAAGCCCACGAGGGTGCGGGCTAGGGGGAGCCTCTGGGAAAGGTGTGTTCTTGGCACTCTTCATGTGGCACCGCTCTATTCCCACCTCGCTCGATTAACCTCCTTGTCCACTCTCACTAGACTGACTGGCGCACGCCCACCCCACCAATCGATGAAGCCCAGCTCAGATGGCACTGTGACCGTAGCTCCAGATTGGGCTTTCCTGGAGGACCCCACTCAATCCTCACAGCACTGCAGCAGCTCTCTCGCTGCCCCAGCAGCTGACCCTGAAGCCAGCAGTTCAGCCGAGAGGTGCAGGACACCTGGGGCGGGTGTGTGGGCTTGAGCAGGGTAACAGGGCAAAGGGCGTGCTGCTGGGGAGGTGACCTATGTGGATAGCTGGACTAAGCTGAGCTAATCCGCCTGAGGGACCAGAGAAGAGCCTCTCCCAGGAGCCTGACTTTTCCAGCACCGCGGGCCTCCCTGACCATTGAGGTGAGGATGCTGGTAGCTGGCAGGCAGGCCTGCAGAGGGTAGAGGAATGTGGAGCCCACACACGGGTTGACCCCATCACATCCCTACTTTGGGGCAGACAGTAGAATAAGGTGCCCTGAGTGGGTGGCAGGCAGCCTTCAAAGAGGGCCGGAGATCCCCTCCTGGTGCTCCAAGCCCTGAGTGATCCCACCCCATTGAGAGTGGGCCATATTTGGTGACTTGCTCTAACAAACAGAAAATGCTCAAAGTAACGCATGTCCCTCCTGAGATCAAGTCACAAAAGCTGGTGGCCCTCCCCCACCCACCCAGAGTGGCCCTGAGCTGTTACTCTGATGAAGCCCACAGGAAAGGACGGTGAGCCTTCCTCCAGACAACGCCACGAGGAAGAGGCCGCAGCCCCACAGCCCCCACCACGGGAGCCTTGAAGTGACTATGGCCTTGGCTGCTCCCTCAGCTGCAACCTTGAGAGGATGAGTCAAGGCACCCAGCACAGGTGCCCCTGACCCACAGACCCTGTAAGATAACAAGTGTGCGTCACTTGAAGCTGCTGCGTAATTTGTTACACAACAAAAGATAATACAGAGGTCAAGAGACACCACCCACAAAACTGGGTAGTGTCTCACAGAACAGGGAGAAGGCGTGTTCCCGGTGAACGGGGGAACAGCCATTCCCTTCCTTCCGTTTCTAGTCACCACCGCCACCCAGTGCACCACCACCCAGGCTGCAATGCCCCTCCTACTAGCACCCTCGCCTCTACCTCCTTTATCGAGTCCAAGAACAACACGTCTCCTCACCCGACAGCCACCTCTGCAACACTCCCTGGCCCACCTCACTTCTCAAAGTTCAGAGCCCCTCAAAGTGAGCTCTGCGAGTCAGTTTCCCGCCCTAAAGGAGGCTAGTGCCGCCGTATGAGGAATCCAACAAAGTCCATGTCCTCACAGCTCTGCTACAACGGAGGAAGCTACCAGAACACGGAGGGGAGTCAAGGCAGCCTTCCCAGAAACAGGACCACCAGCTCAAGACTCTCCACTTGCTGCCACCACCAGGTGCCCTCCACTCATCCCCTCATCCCCCCCAACCAGGTGGGGTGTCCCATTGGTTATTCAGAGAAACTGCCTGCTCAGAGGTTAAGTCAAAGCCCTTGCAGGGACTCAGTTCAGAAGCTTCGAGTGCCAGGACATGACTGCCCCGTGGGGGCATGAGGAGAGCAACAAGCCAGGAAAACCCAGGAGGGCTTCCACCCAAGTGTCTGCGGCGATGATCACTTACAGGCACAGGGGGCTCTGGGCTGCAGAGTGGGAGCAGACTCCTCCCTTCTGAGCCTGGGACACAGCGAGTGGCAAGGGCACTCCCACACACTCACATCCACATCCCGCCCCACAGGCCAGGGAGGGGGAATTCCAGCTCCGCTGACCTCAGAGTGGGGGAACAGGTTCTCGGTGACTGTGCCACCAAGAGTCACACATACCCGGCACTTCACTGCATGAATCCATGCCTCAGAGAAGCAGGTCCCGAACTGGGTAATGATGGGCAGGCAGACCTGGGCATGGGCAGGGGCAAGAGGCAGAGACAGACTCTGGCTCCGCAGCAGAGTCCCCCTGATACCCTGGCTGACCTGCAGAAGCTGGGAAGACCCTGTCCTGGTACTTTGGTTTGGAGGGCTCGACAGGGCCACAGCCAGTGCCTGAGGCCCACCTTCAGCACTGCCCCACTCCCAGTGGCTAGGAAGCCCAGTGGCAAGGAAGCTCCGCTAATCCGCTGCCCTGTGGTGAAATCAGAAAATACTTCTCCCTGCCCGTCCTGCACCCTCTGGAGGGCAGCGGGCACAGGCACAGCCCACTGGGAGGGAGAGCAGGGCTTAGCTTCATTTTCTTCCTGGCCAAGCAGCTATATTTGTGCTGCCGCTCAGGTGGTTCCCATTCAGGCCACAGGGTGCCCTTTCAATACGCTCCTGTGTCCTTTGACACATATCACACATTGACACCTTGGTCTTCTCTCCCTATCTGGGGTGGAATCTTCTTAAGGGGGAGCGAGCCCAGCTGTCCCCCAGAACACTCTACCAGGAGCCCGCAGACGCACAATAAGCATGTGTGGAATGGGGAGGAATGGCTTGGTGTCAGCAGTGGAGGCCTGAGGTGTGCTGCCCAGTGCCCCAGCCTCCTGCTGTCCTTCTTCATTTCAGC